CCCACCCTGCGCGGCCCGCAACTCGCCCTCCCGGTCCCCGCGGACCCTCCTTTGTCCCAACCCCACCCTCGGCGCGCCGCGAGGGGGGCCCTCCTTCTCCTCTCTGCACACCCCCTTCGACCTTAGCCCCCCACGTTAGCGAGCGTGGCCCTCCCACCGAGCCAAGCTTTGGCTAGACCACCCCTCCGCCCTGACACTTCTCTCCAGCCCGCTCCGCAGCCCACCCCCCACCCCTGCCCGCCCCTAGCTCCTTCCCAAGTTAGAGCCCCTTGCCTAAACCCCTTCCTCCGGAGTTGGGATGGGGGGCTCTGGGCTACCCCTTTCTGTACACCCACTGAACCCATCATGGTAGTTAGCATGGTCCTTCTGCCGAGCCAGGCCAGAACCAGATCAACCCCCCTCCATCAGCCCCCTAGCTGCCCGCTCCCCACTCAGTCCCTCAGTCTGGAACTCCCATTGAATGGGGGACTCTGGGCACCCTCTCCCCTCTGGCACCCATCAGCTGTCCTTCTGCTTGGCCCTCTCCAAGGGTCAGGGCCTCTCCATCGGCCCCCACAAAGTGTGTGTGTGTGTGTGTGGGGTGCTCAGGAAGTCCCTCCAATCCCCGTCCCCCCAGCACAGCCATTAGACGCTCCCTGTCTGCCCGCTCGTAGCTAGGCAGGACAGTCACCCTCCCCCCAGGCTGTGTCCTCTGGTCCAGCTGCCCTGATGGCTCACGTCTGAGCTTGCTCCAACCTGCCTGTGTCCCACCTGGCTCCTGTGAACCAGGGGTGAAGCCTGGGCATCAACTACAGGAAGAAGACCCCAAGCCTCACATCTGCTAGCTCGGCCCCCTCCCTGCTCTGTGACCTTGGGCCAGCCCCTCCCCCTCTGTGTCCAGGACGCCCTCCCCCACCTAGCCTCAGGGAGCTTCTCTGAGGGTTTCTTCAATGGCGCTCATTGAGGGAGGGGGCCCCCTCTAGCTCGGAGCTCCACCACAGGGTCAGGTGGCCGCCAGGAAGTGGCCGGAGCTAGGTAGTGCCACCTGAAGTGGCCAGTCCAGATGGGTTAGGGGTTGGCAGAACTGGGACCCTGCCCCCCTCCCCCAGCCCTTCATGAAGCGGCTTCATGGTGGTAAGTGAAGCTTCACAGCAGCCCAGAGACCTGTGCCTGGCCCAGCGTGCCTTCTTATCCCAGTCAAGCCAGCCACATCCCACATGGGGTCCCTGTGATTGTGACCAGGCTTACTATTGGCCCCTGGGTGCATGCGGGGTCACCAGGACTTGGGGCCACATTTCAGTAATTGGTTTGATCTTCACCAAGGCTCCCCATTCCTCTCGGGTCAGGGGCTGGCCAATGGCTTTATCCCTGTCTTCCCGCCCTTGTCTCATCAACCCTATGTCACCATTCCTATTTCATGGATGGGTAAACTGAGGCTTGATGACACGAATCTACCTCCACCGGACTCGCTGCACCAGCTTCGCAACGCCCTAAACCCAACCCACTGCCAAGGAGCCCCACAGGGCAGAGCAGAACTGCTCGGGGGGGAGGGGAGGGGGTTCTGAGACTGTCTCTCTTTACAGGGGCAGGGTCTCATCTTTCTCTTTGGAGAGGCTGGTGGGTTTCCACTGCTGATCCTTTGGTTAGCAGCCAAGAACGTGACTTCTGTGCTACCAGGAGTCCATGAAACCCAAGCCCAACCCCGTTGCCATCGAGTTGATTTTAACTCATAAGGAGACCAATATGTCAGAGAGACAGTCTCATCTTCCCCCCATGGAGCAGCTGATGAATTTGAACCACCGATCTTATAGTTAACTCAGAGCACCACCAGTTTTGTTCAACTCCGGCCCAACCCTCTCCCCAAACCGTCACCTTCACACCCACACACCTGAGGGAAGTAGCTTGGTCGTGGCGTGCAGAGAAAGGTGGGGGCTGAGGCAGGTAGCCAAAACCAAATGCCCACTGCCAGGGAGTTGATACGAACTCATAACAGTGCGATAGGATGGAGTAGAACTGCCCCCTGTGGGGTTCCGAGCCTGGCAATCTTTGCAGGGGCAGACAGCCTCATCTTTCTCCTGAGCAGTGGCTGGTGGATTCAAACTGCTGACTTAGTGGTTAGTAGCCCAGTGAGTAACCCAATCTGCCACTGGGGCTCCTTCCTAGACAGTTAGAAGCTCAAATATCCTGTCTTCCATTGGAGACCACCAGGTCTTCACCCCTTGCCTCCCAGGGCGCCCACGTCCCCACTTGTCCATCTTGGCAAGAATCTCTGTGCCCTGTGACTGGCCTGGGCCCCTTGCCCTCTCTGAGCCCAGGAGAGCTGCTCAGAGGAAGTCCTGTTCAGGGAGTTCTTTTTCTGTGGCTACACCTGGCCTGGAGGAGGAGCAGGGGGCCTACCTGATTAGGTGCTAAGGCAGGACCCTGGGAGCTGGGGTATTGGTTGTGTTTTTCTATCTGGTTTCCCCTCCTAATGTGGGCAGCTGGTTCCTGAATTCCCAACTCCATACACCTCAGATCTTGTTTCTTGGACCCTACTGTTAGTCATATTTGAGAGGTGGCGGTAGGAGCCCTGATAGCATGGTGGTTACTCATTGGGCCGTGAACTGAACGACTGTTCGGAACCACCAGCCACTCCTTGGGGAAAAAGACTGAGCTTTCCACTCACCTAAAGAGTTCTCCCCTGCCCTGTAAGGGTCACCGTGAGTTGGAGTAGACTCGATGGCAGTGAGTGTGGCTCTTGGTTTGCTGGGTAGGGGGGCCAGGGACTTTAAAATGCAAATTCCAAGGCCCATCACCAAGATCCACCTCATATTTTGCTTTGGGACATTGTGCCGCTTCTTCCAGCCCCGAGTCCTTTTGCCATAGTACACCCAGCCCAGGCCCTAGTTCCCCATGGTGCAGAGCTAGCAAAAGGCAGCTGACTCCGAGCCCACTCCGTGTGCACACAGCGAGCAGGGGGAATTGTCAAGTCAGCAGAGGCCTTGCCAGCCTCCTCCACCAAGGCCACCTCCTCTGGGAAGCCCTCCCCACTGCCTCCCCTGCCCTGGTCCAGCGTTTGTTTGTTTTTTTCTTCTTTTTTCTTTCTTTTTTTGCTGACAGCCCTCTCTGTGCAGGGTCAGCCTGGGGTTCTGGCAGCTGGCCCCGGCCCCGAGAGCCCCCTGGAGCCTGTGGAAGATGCCGGAGCAGAGCAATGACTACCGAGTGGTGGTGTTCGGGGCAGGCGGCGTGGGCAAGAGCTCGCTGGTGCTGCGCTTTGTGAAAGGCACCTTCCGAGACACCTACATCCCCACCATTGAGGACACGTACCGGCAGGTGATCAGCTGCGACAAGAGCGTGTGCACCCTGCAGATCACCGACACGACGGGCAGCCACCAGTTCCCGGCCATGCAGCGCCTGTCCATCTCCAAGGGTCACGCCTTCATCCTGGTCTTCTCGGTGACCAGCAAGCAGTCGCTGGAGGAGCTGGGCCCCATCTACCGGCTGATCGTGCAGATCAAGGGCAGCGTGGAAGACATCCCTGTCATGCTGGTGGGCAACAAGTGCGACGAGACGCAGCGCGAGGTGGACACGCGGGAGGCGCAGGCCGTGGCCCAGGAGTGGAAGTGCGCCTTCATGGAGACCTCCGCCAAGACCAACCACAACGTCACCGAACTCTTCCAGGAGCTGCTGACGCTGGAGACGCGACGCAGCATGAGCCTGGGCATCGATGGCAAGCACGCCGGCAAGCAGAAGAGGACAGAGCGCATCAAGGGCAAGTGCATTCTCATGTGAGCGCCGCCCCCGCCTCCACACACCGCCACCTGCGCCGCCCCGCCGCAACCACGCCCTCCGCCCGTCCATGCGTCGTCCGTCCGTCGGGCCTCCGCCCTCTCTGTACCTGGAAGCCCAGAGCTCCAGGCGATCGCCCCCCCACCCCGCGTGTTGTGCAGACGGGAGCACTGGGAGTCGGAACGGTGACTCGGAGCACCCTCCGGGCGGCACCGAGGAAGAAAGGCCTGGCCACCTGCCCTTGCGAGAGGACTGCAGCCTAGGGTGCCCCAGGGACAGGCGGGCTCCGTTGCCTCCATCGCCCGGGGCGCGTGGGAGCTGAACGCGGACCTGAAGGGCGCCCCGCAGATGGGAACGTGGCCCACCCGTGCGGCCCGGTCCTGAGTGGACTAGCTCCACCTCCTACCTGCCCCCTCCCCAGCTCTCCCCACCCCGCAAACACCTTTCTCCATCTCTGCCTCCTCCTGTGCCCTCCGCATCTGATCACTGTGACTCTTCGGCGAGCACGGAGCTGAAACACACCCTCCGATCCTTCTCCTCGTGTTCTTCTCTGGTGTTTCGCACACACATGCACACACACACCACGCACCTGTCCCGTGACCTCTGGCCTGTACCCCCGACCCGGTCCCCAGCCACCCTCCCGCTCGGTCTTCGCAGTGAGTGGCGGGTGAGGTGGGTGCGGGGCATCTGCCGTCCACCAGGCAATAACAGCAGGGCTTGGAGCGCGTCCCACCAGCCCTGGGCGGCTGGGGGCCCAGCCGAGCTAAAGACCACAGCACAGCTCCGTGGACTT